AGACGTGCGAGCGGTCGCGTAAGCGGCGGACGGGCAGCGGCGCGCCTCGCCTCCCTACTCCTCGCCCCGCACCGCCATTCTATTCCTCGCCGAACACCGCCTCGAGCGGGGTCGCTAGGCCGACGCTTCTCACCGCGCGCTTACATTCGCCAGTAGGTTGGGCTAATACGGCGATTTTTAAAATTTCGTATCTCGATAACTATTCGTCCAAGCGCAAAATAGTACAATACTTTTCTGTTTGTCTTAGTCCCCTCTACCTTCCCATGACCGGACGTCAAAGTCTTGCGTAGCACCCTGTATAACAAAAGCTGTTGATTGGAACAGATTTCAAATGGGGATATATTTATCATAACTTGACTATAAAATAAATTAAAGTTAAAAAAAGTAATGTATAGTTTTTAATTATTTTCTTTTTATATTTCTTAAATATTTTGAACACATTTGTACAAACAGCGTACTGAAAATCTATATGTTAAATAAAAAAATAACCATTTTTTTCAATTCCTCTGTTCCGCTATTTGTTGTATTATACGTCAACGCGTGGGATCTTCCAAAGATACAAAAAAAATCCATTTATATTGTTTACGTTAACAACAAGTATTTTCTTTGTTCAATTAAATTCTCGGGTATGTAGAATTTTAAGAAACATCTTATTTTGAAAATAATATATATCCTTTAAAGACCCCACACGCTAACTATAGGATAAATATACTATTTATAAAGATTCTTTTCGGATAAAATTATATAGTTGTAAATCACAAAATGAAGTCGTTCTCTCTTAGTATCCTCTCTGGTTTTATAATGGCCATCTACATTAACAGTAACAAGATAATTTGTTACATATTACGAAATCCTATAGTAAAATGTGATAAATCTTTTCATACACACACACGCGCGCGCGCGCATTAATTTTTATGTATTCAGATTCTAAACAAAAATTGTAAAATTATATTTATGCATGCTATATATAATTTATATTCAAACTTATATGTATTAAACATATCATCAAGCAATGATATATGTAACCTAACAATTAGATAAATTTTTAAAAGGATGATTGATAACGTCAAATATTATAAGACAAAATTTGTACAAACCTTTAAAAATTTTTTTCCGCAAGGTACGTCTTTTCGCAATATCGTATCCGTATATCCTTGATTTATATACTTTTCGTTATCTCCCTATACATATATATATATTATATATTTTTATAAATTTGTTGATATATAAAAATTATTTAATTATTAATAATTATTAAATAACTCACTGTTTTTCGAGGTTGTCTTTTAGTATCCTTCATTTGTATTTTAACCGCTTTCATACTTTTGTCTTCTCGATTATTTTCAGAATTGCAAACTGGACTCAATGTTTGCTCTTTCAACGAATCTTGCAATTGAACTCTGGAATAACTTTTTTCAGAGAGATTGTCTTCTCTTCCTTGTTTTCTATGGGTTTCGCTGTTAATAATCTCTTTTGTGACTACAGTATGCGGAGTCTTCGCATTTTTAGAGCCTTCCCCTCTTGCAATTGTAAATTTACCATTATTATAATTTAAATTTTGTTCTTCAGCAATGGAATGTTCGCATTCGTCTATATTATTTTTTTCGAAAATTGTATTATTTTCTTCAATTATAATTGAATTTTTCTGCTGTTGAAAGCCACATTCATTTGCTTGCAACATATTTTTATTAGTTTTTGCAAAATTCTCTTTTAAAATATTCCTTTCTTGTAATTTAACATTTTGTTGCTCTTCTTTTGCAGTTAAACTACTTCTAACAATTTCTTCAAAATCGGAACTCTCGAAAATAATTTTTTTATTAATGTTCTTAGCGCATACATCAATAGAAAAAGTATTGCTATTGTTTTTTTCGATAATTGTAATATTTTCTTCACTTATAATTGAATTTTTTTGCTGTTGAAAGCCACATTTATTTGCTTGCAACATATTTTTATTACTTTTTGCAAAATTTTCTTTTAAAATATCCCTTTCTTGTAATTTAACATTTTGTTGCTCTTCTTTTGCAGTTAAAGCACTTCTAACAATTTCTTCAAAATCGGAAGTCTCGAAAATAATTTTTTTATTAATGTTCTTAGCGCATGTATCAATAGAAACAGTATCGCTTATATCATTTTTCTCCGAAAAAATGTCGGGAATACTTTTCAACTGTTCATTAACGTTGTCAGATAAAATATCGTTCTGAATGACTTTCTTATTTCTGTCGGAATTACTTTCATTAATGCTAGACACACACTCATTCTCGTAAGAATAGGAACTTTTCGAAATTTGTTTATTTGTTTGAGAATCACAAGTTTCGGGAATTATTTTATCTTTGGATTCTCTGTTATCAGTACTCGTCGCAATATTGCTCTTGTTGGTGTCAAAACTTTCATTAATTTCACTCTCGTTAAACCGAACCTGTTTCTTGTCTTGAGACTCACAAGTTTCAGGAATTATTTTTCTTTTCATTTGTCTCGTATTAGTCAATGTAACATCCTGTGTATCCTGGATTAACGTGTCAGAGGGGAAAACTTTTGAGGTATTTGATTTTAAAAATGTGGCGAAATTATATTTCGGATTGCAATACGTTTCCGTGTTACAATATAGAATTGCGAGTGGAATTTCCGTATCAGAAACCATTCTGCGTTTGACAGCTTGCAGCTTGTGATCTGCAATATAGAAATATTTTGTGAATTTTGTTCTATTTATTACTTTTAATTTAAATGATAATATATAATTACTCACATATGGCCGGATAATCAGCTGCGATAGCTAGAGTAAGTTGTGAAGAATCATTGGCAGGTTGTTGTATGACAATGGCATTTTTGGCAGTGAGATCTCGGGGTGTCAAAGGTCTCTTCGTGGGATATACACACGACTTACCGCCTGAAGTATAATTTTGCTTAACAATATTTACAAATTAATGCAAAAATATATGTTGTAATATATTGTAAAATAAATAAATATAAAAAATTAAATCATAAAAGATTTAAATACAAGCTTAATATAAAATATAAAAATAAATACTACAAAAGTAAAATTTAAACTAAACAACAATAAGACCAGTTGTGTTCATACATACATTTTATATCTTTTTTCGTAAATACCTTTACATGTTACTATACTATTGCAAAATTTTACTTTTGTACATTAAGATCTGGAATTGGGGTAAAAATTATTGTTAACCACCTGCTGCAGTAATCAATGGTGCATATGCAAAATATTGCTTTGCACAAAAATGGACAAACGAGAGACCTTTGAATAACGTTCTACGCTTTTCGTTAGGTAGAAATATTTTTGAGGAAACTGTCAACAATTCTTCTTTCACTTTTGGCAGAAAATCATCGATTTTTGGTAATTCCTTAGACTCCTCGATGGCTGCATTAACTGCTTCCCAATACGCAGTTGTGACTATAGGTTTGGCAGATGCCAGTGCACAAGCTAACTATATAAATTACACGATGCAAGTTTATCAAACTTTTTCTCTTGTCACTTACATATTATTTATAAAACGTAACGCTTTCCTTGCTTGATTTAAAACGTCATATACATATAATACGAAGTCACAAAGAATAGCCAAGAATAATAAACTGACGTATGCTATAATTCTTGATTGTTAAACAGATGCATTCATTATTATCAATTGTACTCAATCTTATTTCCAAGATAAACAGAACATTCTTAAACTACAAAATTCATCGACATTTTTTGTACTGAAGTGAAGAAAATTATATAGCATAAAATATAACATAAAATTAGAAATAAGATTTAATGCCAGCAGTTAAAATAATTTATATAATTTGATTAGGCTACCTACATCCTGCTTGGACCTACATTCTCGTTGGTTGTTCGATTATATAATTTGTTCCAAACAAATTTATGTTCAGTTGCAAAATCTTACCTTCGTGGTAAATAATGTATTTTCAGACACTGTCAAATGTGTACAAGAGCTCTCCCAAGCCTCGGACAATGTTACTTTCAAATGGCTCGTAATATCTTTCAATTTCTTCGAATCCTGCTCGTTCAAGCTGGACCTCGCAATTGTAAATGAATGACATAACACCCTGCAATAAGAAATTTGTTACAAAATAAATAATTTGTTCAAAACTGACTGAAAATGATTTATTCTGGTCATTATATAATTCTAATTATTAAAATTGCTTATACAGTAAAGTATTGTAATCTTACACGAAGGTATACTCCTTTAATCCAAAATGTACTGTATCACCGGCCTTCAAAACAAACTTGTCGTCATGAGGCAATTTTTTCTTTTCTTTATCTCTTATAATAAATGTTCCATACTTAGATACATCGTTAATAACACATTCATATTGCGTCTGAAAGAAATCACATTTTCAATAATAATTTTCTAAGCATTTCTAAAAGATTATGCATATTAGAAGTTAATAAGAGTCCGTGTACCTTCGCCTCTTTTGTTGGTTCCACAGAAACTATTGCATGGAGTCTACTAATCGTGGAGTCTCCCACCAACTTGATATCACTCAGTGTTTTACCAAATGATTTTTTCTCATTTGGTAAAATATAGACGCAAAGGCCTGAAAGAGAATGCACTGTTAATTCTATTTGTCTTTGTATTACGGAGAAATTAGTAAATTGAAATAGGAACGCAAGAAAGGGAGACGATTTTCTAAATTGTGCACGTACATAAAGTTCTAAATAATTTATTTCCTTCATCATTGCGTGAAACTTAATTTATAAATTAAACGTCGAATTGCTGTTTATTGTTACATGCAGTTATTATATTCTATTAGTCCTATAAAAACAAACTGTAAAAACTCCTGTAAAAACAAAAATTACACCGCTAAGAAATAAATGTTGTAATTATGCAGGGCGTAATATCTGAAAGTTCATTCTAATCTTAGTACCTTCGCGTCCCTTAAGACACCACATGTCGACGGCCGACTCACGTAAGATAGAAATGAGCAACAATTTTTCACTTTTGTAGATTGCTTTGTTTCAAAACATCGACAATTTAACCTAGCATGACGCCCGCGCCATAAACGTAACGAATAAACTGAGAGCGCGCACAGCCTACTGGAGAATCCCTCAAGAGTTGACTTCCATGAAACGTCGGTACCGGGTACCCTCGATCAAACTCCGACCAGTCCGACCGCAAAGCGGCGCAGATCCTGCAGGCTGCATGCAGGTCCTGTGAGCGCGGTGTTGCGCGATAGACGAGAGTGGTATATACTGATTTGACGAACCGCTACGTCCGCTACACGTTTACTTATCCGACGTACAAAAAGGATATTGGAGGTTAATTCTCGCGCGTGAGAGCTCCGGCTCTGATCACTTGGGGGTCTATCCAGACAAACGTGCGCGTGTGCATAAAGAGATTGATTCGTCCACTTCCTCATGCGTGCGCTTATGACCCAGTCAGATTCCTTGCGCGTGTATCTTTTATGCTCGCTACAAGTTCGCCTGGTTGGACCCTTGATTCGCAGAATTTACGCGTTACGCCGCGATACTTTTTATATCGGCGCGGTTCGCTCGCGCGCCTGGTTAATCTCTCCACGTACAGAACGTAATTGAACGATGTCCGTTTCAGGGACAGACCTACCGGGAAAAGGAGGGAGATTAAAGTGTCTTGTGCAATAATAGCGCGATACAGCGTTTGATTGCGTGATACGACACTCGGAGGGAACTCGGCGCAGATATCCTGTCTATAGGCTAACCTAGTTTAGGGTAGCATGATGCTGGGATCCGTGCCCGTGGCACCGTCCACCTCGGCGAGCAGTTCTGGTCTACCGAGTCCAACCATGGACGCGTTCGATGACACTTCGAACAAACTGACGACGTACCTGCATCAGCTAGCCGGGAGTCGCGAGATGGACACCGACATGATATTCAAGGACCATTGTTACGCTCGACCTTGGAACTGGAGGCCGGAGAATGTTTACGTGAAACCTATAAAGAGGCTGTTCTTCTCGAAAAACACCCCCAGGTAAAATTGCCCACGACACGATGCGATTTCCGCCTGAAGCTGGAAGGTTGCAGGATAAATGTAACAATTGATTTGCTCTGCTTGCAGCGACAAGCATAGAAAGGACGAGGAGGTCGACGTGGAAAGCGTTGGCGGCGAGCCGTCGCCACTGCCGCTCGATTTGACTAGATTTCGGCATATGATGGACGAGTTTGAACGTCTAGCGAACTTTGCGCGACCCGAGGAGGAGGAGGAGGCGGAGGAGGAGGACGATTGGGAGGAGAAGATAGAGAAGACCTTGTGGTCCGCGATTCAGAATCGGATCTTTACCAAGGTGACGCGGATACTGAGCTCGGAGAGGCTCGCGAGATTGGCCAAGGCTAAGAGCGCGACGGAGCCGATCTTTCGGCGCACGTCCGTGGATATTGCGGCGAGGAGATTCCGTGAGACCCTAGCGTCGACCGGATGGGACTGGCGGCTGGTTCACTGGCTGCACAATTTGCTGTTCGAGCGACTGCCCCAGGAATACCTGGCCATCTATCTCGATATCCTGCAGACCTTGAGGCTGAAGATCCCCCAGCTGATCGATAAGATGATCGCTGTGCAGCCGAACATCAGCGCCAAGGGCGGCTCCATAACGTGGGAGACGCTCGGGTCGCTCTTGAAACGGTCCTGGGATCCGGTCGCGCAGAATTTGAGCGGCAACAGACCCGTAAATACGATAACTTGATCATTAACGCGTGTTATCTGATTAAGGTGGGAATTAATTGCAGATTTGCATAATTGATTGCAGAAGAAATTGCCGGGAAATCCGATCTTGATAGTTGTACCTTCCGGTATCGCGTCGAGCGTTTCCTCCCGCCAGCACAAGTGGATCACGCAGCTGGGACTGTTGGGCATGGTCGCTACCGTTCATACGCATATGAGCTTGGCAGCCAACAGAATGACCATGATGGTGTGCATGGACCAGCTGGTTCAGGCCACAAGAGCCAAGATACAGGATGTCAGAAGTGACTGTCCTGGTAGGCCGATCATACTCGTGGGTTTCAACGCTGGCGCGGCGCTCGCGTGCCAGGTAAAGGTTACCTTTGCACACATCCCGCGTCAATTTCTCTTGCTGTCGTCGCTGACTCTTGTTTGCTTCGTAGGTGGCCCAGATGGAACACATAACTGCTGTTATCTGCATTGGATTTCCTTTCGCAACCGTCGAGGGGAAACGGGGCACGCCCGATGACATGCTGATGGACATTCGCTGCCCGGTTATGTTTGTCATTGGGCAAAACGCCACCCTCGTACGACCGGACGATTTGGAGGAGCTCCGCGAGAAGATGCTGGTCGAGACGAGCCTGGTGGTCGTGGGCACGGCCGACGACCATCTCCGGATATCCACGTGTAAAAAGGTGCTCGAGGGCATCACGCAGAGCATGGTGGACAGATGCGTGCTGGACGAGATCGGGGATTTCATCGGCAGCATCCTGTTGCAACCGCACCCGCTGCCACTGCGGCCGACAACGACTAACTGCGACAGCAAGATCAAAAAGGACTCGCACAAACGAAGAAACTCGACCAGCAGCTCCGTGGAGAGCGAGCCCAACTCGCCGACCGTGAAGAAATCCCGGCCGACCACGCCGGTGTCCTCCGCGCTATCGCTCGGCACAAACGTGGCGTCGAGCTCGGCCCCCAAAATCGGTGCCCAGTTCAATGCCCAGTCCAATGTGACGCAAGTAAGCGGGCAGCATACAAATCACACTCCCGCCACGAAACGGAAGCGGCCCGCGAGCAATCAGAGAAATCAGTTCTCCGATCCGAAGACGCCTAGGCTTCCTGCGCAGGTAATTCCCATACACAGTACATGATGCATAAGTATTATGTGTATGTGGTTGACGATACATTTATGCCTGCGTTTCAACTCGAAAGTACGTATACTGCAAATAATAATGACAATTGTTACGGCATATATTATTTATTGCAGTCAAATGTTAATTCGGAAAATGGCATAACGCTCAATATTGGCACGCTAGCGAGTTTGGCGCCGATAGGACCGATACGTTTAGCGCCTAACGCAGCGGGTCAATCCACGACCACCCCCTCGAAAACCTCTAGTACGTCCAAATCCCCGGCTACCGCTAAACTACCGAAGATCATTTCGAATGTGGCACTGCCGAATGCTTCAAAGCTGAAAACATTGGTGTCTTCTAATAAGTCTTATTCGAGTGTGGTCTCGAATAATTACAGACAGGCCAGTACGCCTGACAAAAATGGTGACACGAAATTGGTAAACGTTTTCGCCACGGGAAATCAGATCAGAGTTAACACAACTCCCACAGGTGAGATAAGCGTGTAATTGATTAACGTTATCAGTGGGAGCGTAATTTTAAATGTTATTTATGTATTTGTTTTTTCCAATGAAACAGCAGGGAGTAGTAAGCCTACGGCGACAAGTGGCACTTTGTCGAATCTTCTGCAAAGCGGAAAGAGTTCGATTGCGCTCACGAGCGGTGCATCCTCCACCCGTGCATCGTCGGCTTCTAGTATCCTGCTAACGACCGCCAATTCATCAGCGAATACCGTAACGGCGTGCGCATCGACCCCTTCAAAAGGTAGACCACAATTATCTAATCAGTTATTAAATAATTTACCTGAAACGTAGTCATAAATAAATATAGGGACTCTATACGATTTTTAATCGTCCGTCAATAAAATGATGGGATGTTACAGCTCTTGCTTTATGTGAGCGCACTCGGGATGATTTTTAGATTTAACAAGTTGCATATTACAATAGCAATATTAATTTTGAGAACACTTAAATTCATTTTTATGAGCAACTAATTCAGTGACTGAAATAACTTGTAGCATAGTTATAACTATAAGCTATTTCAGTCACTGAATAGTTGCTCTAGTATAACTAAATATTTAAATTCTTATAGCACAGATTTATATAATGTGCGATATATACGCGTGTATGTATGTGCGAAAAAAATATCGTATATATTATAGTGAGTAAATTCACATTTTTTAATACCTACTTCTTGGTATTTTAGTAACAGTTTATACAAACACGTAATATTCTTCTATTAAACTGAAAGGCTTATATAAGATGGCGCAAATTATAATTGTTTTTATCGTAATTTTCAGAATTGTACGATACATATATTTTGATTAAATAATCGATTATAAAGGAAGGAGAGAATGCCAATGTGAGCCACAAAATGAACAGAACTCGGTTCTCACAATATAAATTCCTCAATTTCTATTTAATATACGTTTCGACCCTTCTTCGGGTCTTCTTCAGTAACTCGCTCAATCGTCACGGGCTCATCCCTCGGTCGAGTTAATCAGTCCTCTTTATGTCGGGCACCATTTAGAGATTCGCTGATTGACAAAATTAGAGAATTGACTTCGATGCTGTGCCGATCTATATTTTCGATTGAGCGAGTTACTGAAGAAGACCCGAAGAAGGGTCGAAACATATATTAAATAGAAATTGAGGAATTTATATTGTGAGAACCGAGTTCTGTTCATTTTGTGGCTCACATTGGCACACATTCTCTCCTTCCTTTATATTTTTCTTTTCGGGAGCCTTCACAACAATTTGGAATAAATAATAGACTGTATCGAATAGCGAATTCGGTCGCTTGCACTAGTACTAAGTGCACACTAAGGCTTGTTTACAGTCAATTCTTACATTTAAGGATCGTCTGAAATATCTCTTGTAATATTTCTTGGTCAGTAAAATAATTTGTATAGCATCTATACGGATCTTTTTTTTTTGCTAAATACTCTTGGAACCTACATTTAAGACAAAATTAAATACAAGAATTGATTATAAATCAGTGCGCACTAGTGCAAGCAATCGAATTTGCTAAAGGAGGACAAAAATTCTAAAAATTTCTTCAGTTTCTTGTAACTTCGTACTTGCTTCTCCAAAATAGTTTGGCAATATGAACAAACTAAAATATTTGAAGCAAATAATTTCATTGACTAAGTTTCAAAATATTAAACCACAAAATGTTAATTATGACTTACATTTATTTACTATTTTATATGTCAAATTTTTATAATAATTATATAACTTTCAGATAAATTTTCATACGAAAAAGCACATATGAAACCTCGTGTACATACATAATTATTTTGCTATAATGACTCTATTCAAATATAATATTCGGTAATGATGTATAAAACTGTATTAATTATATATTTTTAATACTTTTGGAAGGTATATATATATATTTGTAAAAGATATATTACACAAAAAAATGCTTTCTAAATTTAATTTATGATAATTATCAATTTATTCACGATTATTATGAACTTTCTCTATACAAGATCAGAATAATTATATTCTCTAGGACTGCTTCATATTAATTTGACACTGAACCTATTACCTTACAGACTTTCACTCTCTTGTACATATATTTTATTTGTAGCTAAAGTAGTTAGAATAACATAACAAAATATATATAAAGCATCAGGGGGATTTTCAATCCTACCTTTCAATTGGCAATGTGAATGTACATAATGAATATATTTAGGTGCATATGTGTACATTATATAGCGTGTCCTACAAACGATATTAACAGCCATGAATAAACGTGACAATAAGGATCGTCAGGCATTCTCAAATACATATTAAAAAGGAATATTGTAAATACATTAGGTTGCTTTTTATTTTGTATTCAATAAATATTTTTTGTAACATAATTCGAATTTGTTTACTTCCCAACCTTAATCCCATCCATCTTGAGAAAAAATGTAAACGATTAACGAGTCTGGGTAATTTTGAACAATTGGTTTTGGGAGATTTAATTAATGCCTTTACTTACATCAGACATTTTGGGCAGCGATAAGCACTTATAACAGTAGGTTGTTGCACTACGTATACTTGGTAGGAAGGAAATTATTTAATGCTTTTTGTTGTTCCGTTAAAATAAAGTGAAAATCCTATTAATCTAAATTTTTATCTGTCCACGTCAACGTTTAATGTTCGTACTCATTAAGTTACCAAGTAAAAACGATACATCATTTCGATGCGTAACGCTAAATAAGTTACACACAGAATCAAATGTTAGACAAATGTTCGGGGAGCTCGAATGCTAAAAATGAAGTATTCAAAGAATTGAACATTAAAAAAATTATTTTACAATCATATGCAAAAGTGTAACACATCGGATGCGTTGTTACAGTGTCTTGGGATGTTAAGTCGTTGCATGTTAATATATACATATGATACGTGATAATATTTTACGCGTTACCCTTTTAAGATCTGAAATAAATGTACGTATATATTTTATAGCGATGGAAGAGATGGGAATGAGCAGTGATTCTCACTTATTGGACATATCCAAATCGGCGCACTTACCACGACAAGGAGCCGTACCCAATAGTACCGATAGCTCTCATAATACGTCGTGCGGTAACATAGTCATTGTCGAGAATTCCCTCCACAACAGAAGCGCGCCTTCGTCGGTGATAGTCCCGTTTAGCAATCAAAGCCCCGGCTTTCTGCCGCTGTCCAACAAGCTGAAAATCTCACAAAAGTCGATGAAGACAATGCCGAAGATCACGGTCAACGCCAACAACTTGCAGAGACTTCAAAAGGGGAAGTCCCAGAGCGCCCAGAAGAGGAGCATCGCAAACGATATAGACGACGATCTGGGTAATATACTGGACATACCGATAATATTCGCCAAGGACGACGACAATTTGAGCAACATAAACAAGATGCCGGCGTTGACGCAAACGACGCTGGCTAAGGAACCTCAGGAGAGGCCAAAAATTAACAATACCACCAAGGTGGTTTTGATCAGCAACAAGCAGGACAAGCTGCAGCAGGTGCCGAGTAAACTCGGAGCGGCCTCCGCGCAGGCCGTTATTTGTCCCAATATGTCTGTGCAAAACTTGAATCAATTGATACTGCAGACGCGGTCGCAGAATAGCGGCGTCTCGACGAAGAGCAGGGTCGGGGTGCCGCTGGAAAATCGACTGGTACAACCTGCCGTCAAGTACACCAAGATCATACTGGCGAAAAGGAACTCTCAGCCCATTCAGCAGAACGAGAGGGCCGAGCAGGTGGTTGCGACCAAGAAAGTTCCGGACGATGTAAACGCACCCAAGATCCTGACCTTCGAGAAAAGCGAGCACAGATTCGTGCAGGCGCAGTCCTCCGCGGCGTCGGCAAATTACGATAATCGTCACGCGGACAACATACTCGAGATCGAGGACGCTATTAAGACGAATATTATCGAACGCAAACACGTACCCGTGCCTGCAATCGACGAGACGTCATCCGCAACTCTCGACGACGACTGCGATATCTTCCACGAGGCTAAGCTGGACGAGATGGCACACGATTTGGAGCAGTCTGTTTTCGATAATGTTGGTGAAATACAAACATGAAATACATAATTGCTTCATGATATCATTGATTGTGCGATATGTAAGAGAATTTCTGCAAAGTGTGATTATTTCAAAGTGATTAGCTAAAGATATATATATATATTTGTATATATATACTTACATATATACATATTGTATATACAGGGTGT